CATTATCTTGCCCATGTAATTGTAACCCCTCTGTATGGTATTTTCACAATTAAAAAAAAAAGAATCCTGGGTTCCCTGGATAGCCAATTGGGATGAAAGAGATTCCTCCAAGGACATCAGCTCCTTAAGACAAGTGGTTCTAATACAATGTGGAGGTGTACTACATGATTAGCAAGGCTGCTGTCCAAGCCCAGCATTCAGGGGTTCCCCAGTTATCACCTGGAAAGGTGGACATCCCAAAGACCAAGTGTGTGTAGTTATAAGTGAACCTTCTGCTGAGCTCCTGTGCTCACACCTATAAATACTAGCTAGCTACTCAGGAGGCTGAGATCTGAGGATTGCAGATTGAAGCCAGCCCAGGCAGGCTGATTAAGTAACCTTCTTATCTCTCATTAACTACTAAAAAGCAAAAGTGGGGCAATGGCCCAAATGATCGAGTATGGGCCTATCTACTGAGTGGCCAATAGGCCGGTATCAATCAATCAATCAATCAATTGATCAATAGATAAGACTTGAATGCTGTAAGGTGACCATAAGTGCTGAAGTGTGTTAAAGAAAACCTAACTCTCATATGCACTAAAGGGAGAAAGGAAGGCCTTATTCAAGGGACTACTGTAATGGGCCTCTACAGTAAAAAGACTGAAAAAGGTTCAGCTCAGTTCCAATCACAAAGAAGAACAAAGATGTACAGCCAAGGAGCAACACTAAGGAGGAGGTTCAGAGGAAATAAAATGACTCCAAGAAGGGATCTAGACTATGGGGAACCACTGCAAGGAATCTAGCTGAGGGCAGAGCAGGGTGATTAGGTAAAACTTGAGTAATGAGGAAAAGGAAATTTGACTCGTTCTTTCAAATATGGAGAATAGAGAATTCCAGCTAAACTGACTTAGTTGAGAGGATCTCTTCCATAAGCCTGACTGAAGCTTGATCAAAGGCAATGTTTTTGTCAGGTCTGCCTATGAAGGCACAAGCCTAGAGAAATAAGGTGCTACTGCTGATTTGGCAGGACAGGAGCCATCCACAAACACCATCCACTGCAGTTTTTCAGGAACTTGCGAAGGGTTAAGAAGGAGAGGGATAAGACCCTGTGAATAAGAGAAGTGGCCAGAAGAGAAGATTTTCAGTAAACAAGGATTTGATGGGAAAGTTGGACTTCAGGACTGAAGAAGCAGAAACTTGTATCCAAGAGTACTGACAGGGAACACAAAAGATCTAATCTAATCTTCCTCCCTTGAATTTCATAGAATTTAAAAGTTCCTCTCAAAATGACTTCAAGTGAAATCATTCTCATAGGACAGGCAGGATTCAATTAAGGTGAGAAGTGGAGAGAAGTTGATGAAGACTTGAGGAGGAAGGGAGGTTGGTATATCCTGAATCAGGCCTGATAAAGACTATAGGTAATGGACCCTCAGTGGCAGGTAGAGTCAGGAAGAACAAATCCAAGATAGGCTCTTGGGAAGAAAATCCAAGAAAGAGTTGTTAGGGAGTGTCTCCATGTTGAACAATTATACTATCCATGATTCTTATCAGCCTACAGGAAAAGAATGACTATCTGCTCCAACAGGTTCCTGGAGTGCCAGGGACCTGGCCTTGAATTGATTGATGTCAGACAAAGGTGTCATCTACAGAACACAGAGACATCTGTCTCCAAAAGTTAGTTTCACCCTGTATCATTGGCTCTCAGGGAGTACTCTGGGTTTGAAACTGCCAGTTCTGTGTATCTTCAAGCAGACACCCAAAGGCCTTGTTACTGAGTCGTCTTGGTGTTGTTAGATCGGGACAAGAGCCAAGCTGCTTGCATGTCTGGCTTCACAGAAGCAATTCCTCTTGGTTCTTGGTTTACACTGCAGCTCAGGATCTCAATCTTGCATCCACCATTCAACCATCCATTCTTCCATCCATAACTCTCTCATCTTCCTATCGATGTTCTATTTCTATTTAATGATAGCAATGCTTTCTTCTGAGCTGAAATACTATAAACATATAAGAAATCTGCTTATGAATTCAGACTCACCTCTATCATTCCATTCTGACCAAACTAAATCTAGACACAACTCCAGGATGACTTCCCAATCTTTTTCAAAATAATACCCCAAAAAGAGCTCATTTAAATCCTGCCTCAGTTTTTTCCTTTTCCAAATTGTAATGGCTTCATATTGACTTTTACACAACATATAGAAAAACAATAAGGTTAATTATATTTTTATTTCCCTGTCATATCCTGGTCATATAAGGACTACAGTTTCCCAATGCAGAATTGTGTGTATGTGTGTGTGTGTGGATGGTCCTGAGGCTTGAACTTAGAGCCAGGACACTGTGCTTGAGTTTGTTTACTTAAGGCTAATGCTCTACCACTTCAGCCACAGATTCCCTTTCCAGCTTTTTTGTGCCAAATTAGAGATAAGAGTCTAATGAACTTTCCTGCTTGGGCTTATTTCAACTCATGATCCTTACATCTCAGCCTCTTGGGTAGCTAGGATTACAGGTATGAGCCACTGTCATTGGTTCCAAGGCAGAACTTTACAGGAGTAATTTTTAATGTTTCTACAGTCAGGAATCCTTGACAGTTAAAGGATATTCTCAGTACACTTTTGTTACCTATATCAAGGGTTTCCAGAACCTTAGAGCTGTCTATGGATCTCAAAGATCTCAAAGGCTGGGCCTGCTTTTTAGTCAGGAAAGAACCATAGTCTTAGGAGATGTGAGTCCTACACCTGTGTGGTTCTGCCCTGCAAAGGAGAAACAAGGACTCAAATCTAGTTCAAATCCATATTTAATCTTGAAATTCCATGCCTCCATTCTCAACTTTGCTACCACACTGTCTTAAAAACATATCTTTTTCTTTGGGTGCAAATGGTGTTTTTGTCTCTTAGACAGTGGTTCTTTATATGAGTTGAATCCTTTTCTCATGGAAATACAAGAGGTTTGTTGTACTCATCACAGATTCTTTTGCTTGATTTTCATGAAAACAGTCAGTGACAGGATGGTTTTGACAGAAAGGATTTGTATCATTTGTAGCCCATTAGTAATAGCCAATTAAGAGGGTCCCTTCAAAAGGAGTTACATTGTAAGTTAATAAAAGCAATTATGTGTTGGTTACTCCAACACTTTCATTTAGTCTTTCCATTTTTATTTACATGTTATTTTTTGATATTCAACTATTTCTGTAGCCTATA